TTTTTTCTATAAACTTTTAATCTTTTTTACATTTTATTTTTATTTACTTATTTATTTTTATTAAATATTTTTATTTTTTACTTTACTTTTAGATGCTTCGGGGAAATATTAGGAGCCTAAACAAAATAGAAAAAGAGTCTGAGAACACAGAGTCCTCAATCTTTTTTCTGTATCCCCAGTTATAAATGAACAGGAATCTTCTATACTGAGCGTTCCTGTTCATTGATAACATGAGGACAGAGTATGTTTACTATAACCACAATCATGAATGAACAGGCGGTAATGTAGATCAGCGGTCGCCAACCTTTTTTTCCCCCCTAGCTTCAGCACCTCCCCCAACCACCCTCGTGCCTCCCCTTCCCCCACACTGAGCCACTATTACCTGGCTTTTCCCCAGTTTTTCTGTGTCCCGCAGCCTGCTCAGTCCGGGTACTGACGAGATGCCCCACCTCCTGCAGAGTCCGCACTATACTGAGAGTCGCACATTCCTTGTGACTGCTGCTGCTTGAGTCAGTGAGAGGCAGCCCGGAGCCTCCATGTTGCTTCAATGACGGCCCAGCCTGCACGGCATCAGAGGGGCCTGGGGACCACCAAAATTTTCTCGCGGACCACCAGTGGTCCACATCCACCGGTTGGCGACCGCTGATGTAGATCACTTCCCATTCATTTATAATTGATGATATAGTAACCATACTATGTCCTCATTTATTTACAAACACTCAGCGATCACTGATCGCTAAGTGTTTGTACCTCACTCTGCTTCCTGACAGCTGTCACAGAAGGCTGGGTGAGCGGTGCGGGGAGGAGAGCTTGATCTGACAGCTGACTCCTCTCCCGCCCCACCGGCCGGTCTCCTGTGACAGCAATGGGTGTTTTGCCAAAAGTGCCATTTATATCAGTGCATCCCTATTAAGAAGGATTTAGATGAACTGTAGTAACTTTTTTACTTTAAATCTATCCATGTTAAAATATTAATATTTGTCACAAACCTGGACATGTAATAGAAAAAAGCCATACAAATAGTACATTCCTTCTTACCTCTTAAACCTTTCTATCCATAGGCAACCTCTTTGATAAATAGAAAGGTTTAGAAGGCAGGGGAGCATGGCGCTAAGCTCATCTTTTATAAGAAAATTCAAGATTTGCAAATAACTTAAGCGTTATTGTCTCTGGAACTGCAGATTGTTCTGGGATGTGGTTTTCCCTGATGGTAACCTCTACAAGTGGATGTACAGATTACATTTTCTTTTTTTTTTTCTGTTGTTTATTAAAAGGCTGCCTTTGTTGTACATTTTTTGTAAGTTTGCATCTGTTTTAATTTATTAGTTCGTTTCAGCCAAGGTTTTTTATGTTTGTGACCTTTATTCAGGACCCTGTACTTACAAATAGGTATATGTTGGACTAGCCTAATGCTATCAAATGGCCAATATATAGTTACAACATGAAATTGTCCAGTGTTTAAACTGCAAATATTTGAAATAGGCAGCAATTAGTACATTGCTCTTTTGGTATCTGAACAGCTCTCAGTTTGTTTTTAGCAAATGAGTCAATCTTTGTTAGTACAATATCACCTATAATATCAATATGAAAAGAATCAGTCTTCCTGAACAATTAACCTAATTAGTTCCCTATCCATAGCCACTAGCTTTTTAAATTGTAAATCTCCTTTAAGTAATCCTGCCTTTGGTGATTTACTTCCAAAGTGATTATGTTTATTAACTGAATCTCTCTGTCTACTGCATCATCAGTTTTCTGAAACATCTTATTATTTCAGCAATTCCCACCATAGCATAAGCTACTAAGTCTATCATTCTGACTTCTATCTTTCCCCATGAACTAGATTCTTGCTTTCTGTTTATATAATATCATGGTTTGGATTATGGTCCCCTAGGTCTCACATATGCTTTGTATACAGTAGATATGGCTCAAATAATATTGTCATATAGAATTTTTCCCATCAATGTTTATCGCCTTTGTTGAAAGAAATGATTTTTCTCGTAGAAATGTATCTTCCGCTCTGACATTTAAATCATTGGTAGAAACCTACCAAACATTATTTGTTAATCACTGAATTTACTATTCTTCTTTATTAAGACATTGCTGAGAAATAAAATAATATATATTGTTAAACCACTTCCAGTGGGTTCACGGAAATGTATGTCCTCCGCTGAAAGTGGCTATACCAAGAACACGGCTGCTGCTGCAGCCGTGTTCTAGGTACTGTTTTAAACAGCAGACACATTCTCTGGCTTCTAGAGCCAGAAGAAGAAGCTGGTGAAGCAGATCTCTGATTTATCAGCTTCTTTGGGGTCCCTAGGTGACATTAGGGGTTTGAAGGAACCCTGATTTCTCCATAAAGAGGACCTGTCACATTATATTTGCTTGTTTGCCCCCTATGTGATAGCAATAAAGCTGAGTGTAAAGTAAAAAAAATGTAAAAATTAAAGTAACAGATACAAAAAATTTAAAATGCAAAAAAAAAAGTAAAAGTCCCCCGCCCCCCTCGTGCACGCACATACAACGCAAACATATGTCGGATGCACGTACTTGCAAAAACGAAAATTGTGCCACACATGTTACATATCGTCATGAGCGTCATCACGTGCAACATAAAAAATTGCAATTAGCATCTTTTTATTCTACAGTATCTCTGCTTTCAGAAAATATATAATTGTTTGGGGGTCTGAAACTGTTTTCTAGCCAAAAATTTAGATTTTATCATGTGTGTGCAAATGTAAGAAGTGGTTAAGTGGTTAACTTTGAAAAAATATTTTTCATCTAGTTCTTAATTTCATAAACAAAATTGTTTATATGCAATGCTAATATTTTAGCCTTAGTGAAGATAATTTATTATAATAAACAATTACAAATCTTGATTCTTTAAAATAACTAGATCAAAGGGCACGCAAATCAGCATATTTATTCTATATACTCATTCAGGAAGGCAGCAGGATATCCACTTGTTTTCAATAGATATTTTCTGTCTATAAATAAAGAATTCCATTTTATACTAAGCTTTATCTATGCATTGGTCCAAATGAGTATAAGGAACGTGTACAACTATTTTTCTTTTACACTCCACTGATGTTAGAATTGTATAGTGTGCTGTATGTATTGTGTACTATACATATAGAAGTAGTGTGGTTTTGTTGCTTTGACTTATTTATAGACAAATATTTTGTTTTATTATTAATCTAATTTCACCATTTTTTTTTTAGGGTTGAATTCAAAACTCTCCTACAGCATATCTTCTGGAGATAGCATGGGTCAGTTTCAGATTAACAAAGATGGAGCCTTAAAGCTAATAAAGTCATTGGACAGGGAAAGCCAGTCATTCTATAATCTTGTGGTTCAAGTTCATGATATGGCACCTCCACCAGCATCTAGATACACAAGTTCAGTGGAAGTATCAATAATTTTACTAGATGTCAATGACAACCCACCAAGTTTCATCTCTCCAAAACTGACTTATATCCAAGAGAACACTCCTACAGACACTATTGTTTTTCGGGCACAAGCCACAGATCCTGACAGTGGACCAAATTGTTATATTCAGTATTCATTACTTAGTTCACTGGGAAATAAATTTAGCATTGGGAATATTGATGGAGAGGTGCATCTGACAGGTGAGCTGGATCGAGAAGATGTTTCCAACTATACCTTAACAATCATTGCTACCGATAAAGGGGAACCACCAGTTTCCTCATCTGTGGATGTCACAGTTATGGTGCTTGATGTCAATGACAACAACCCTCGCTTCTCACAAAGTGCTTTTAAAGTTGAAATAAGTGAAGATACCCTAACTGGAACAGATCTTATCCAGGTGGTGGCATCAGATGCAGATGAAGGATTAAATGGAATGGTTCGTTACAGTATCATAGAAGGAAATCCAAACAATGACTTTAGGATTGATTCAGTTACTGGAGTAATCTCAATAGCTAAACCTTTGGACCGTGAAAAGAGGTCTTCATACTCGTTGGTTGTCCAGTCGTCAGATCGTGGAAGCAATTCACGGACAGACACAGCAACCGTTAGCATTATTCTAACTGATGTTAACGATGTGGTTCCTAAATTTGAATTATCCCCCTATTCAGTTAATGTTCCTGAAAATTTGGAGACCTTGCCAAAAGTTATTCTTCAGGTAAGTGACATCTTACCTACATGATATAGGAATGTACTGAAGAACCCGCTGTCGACTTAATATTGCAATAGTTTTTTTGCAAACATAATGGATAGCTGCTTTGATAATCACCTTTTCAAGGGTGCATTTGTAATTTAAGTTTTAACTGAAATGATTACCTAGGGGATGTATGAACTTTTGTAAAATATTTGAAAACACTTTGTAGAAAATCTACAAGCTTTAATGTATTGATTTATTTGGTAGAAAATGCATATCCAAACCTAGCTTTTGAAGGAAAGCTAGTTTTCAGTTTAATTTATTTCTGAAAAGGGTGATATTCAGCTAGCTAAATGATGCATGGTATGTTCCAATATTTGAGATTGCAGTTTCCATCCATAATATCCATATTTTTCCTATAATATTAATCAGTACTGGTAATGAAGTTATTCATTTTTATGAATAAATACCTGACTGACAGCTAAACATGAGTGTATAGCCTTTGAAAAAGATACTTATTGGCTATGCAACACTATGACCAAGTTTGATTCTATTTGGTCAAGATGGATAGTTGCCCACTGCCCGCTACTGTCGTGAAATGCTTGTTTTTCTGCCCTTTGATATCAATGGGAATGTTTGAGATTTTGAGGTGTATGTTACACTGTGCGATGTTCATTGCACATTCTCTTGTATTCTCTTGTTTTTGAAGGAACTAGGCATTTTTCTCTTTTTGATTATTATTTTTGTTTATTTTAATTTTTGTATTGTATTGTATAGTACAAACCTGTAATAAAAAAAAATATATGATAAAAAAACTAAATTAAATCAAGATACGAATGGACTTCGAAAATAAGTACTCCATATATTTACTGCTTTAGGTTGTAGCTAGAGATGACGATCAAGGGCTAAATGGAAAATTGACATATGCACTAGCTTCTGGCAATGATGATCGGGCCTTCAGACTATCAGCAAATGGACAGCTTAGCATAGTAAAAAGTCTGGACCGAGAAGTGAAAGAGCAGTATATATTACTGATCACAGCAGCAGATTCAGGTACGTTTCCTTTTGTATTCTTATATTGTGGCAGGTTGAAATTTCCAAATAGGTTTCAATCCCAGTTAAGGAACTATAAATGTTTTAGAGTCACTTTTAATGGGGGTCATTTTTTGTTGCTTGTTACCTGGCGAATATTTTCTTTACAACTTACCAAATGCTTTAGAATCCGGGCCACAGGGATAATTCTTCCACATCACTAAAGTTAGACAGCTAATTGCCCTAATGGAATCTCCTCCTTGCTAGCTCAGAATGCTGCAGAATCTAGATAAATCTTTGAAATTTAAAGATTTATCTATTTCCTTTTTTGCTACTCTATTAACTACATTATATACCCAACTTAAATTGCACAGCACATTCTCAGCCTGTTTTCTTCTCTTGTAACTTCTAGTCTCTTTGCCTTTCAGACGTCTCTTAAAGTGGATGTTTCTCATCTTTTGCTGGTGGCAATTTCTATCAGTTACAACAGGGATCAAAATTTCCACTCGCCTGCTCGCATTTGGCGAGTGGAAATGCAGTGCAGGCAAGTGGAAATTCAGTCAGGCTTGAGTCAGTAAGAGGGCGGACAGTGTATTATTTTATATGTGGGGGCAGGGAGCTTTATGGTAATATTGTTAAAGCTGTTAATATTTATTTTTGTAACTTTATTTTGCATAAAACATCTAACAATGTAAATAATAAGATTATTTAAGAGTGTGTGTTTAGGGGCGAAGTTAAGGCAGGGGCAGGGTAGGGGTTAGGTGGGAAACTGGTGGCGAGTAACTCCTAAGGCCTGGCTAGTAGCTCAGTACTTGAAATACATTTTGACCCCTGAGTTACAATATCCTTACAGCTGCTGTTCAAAAAATAGATCTGATTGACTCAGAGGAGGGACACCCCTCCACAATTACACTGCTAGCAGGAACAGCAACATCTTAACATGTAGATTAACACAGTCTGGCAGGTAAACATAAAGGCATTCGTCAGCTCTTCAATTAGGAAGATCAGCATGTTTTTCAAATATAATGAATGCAGCTTGTTATAAATATGTATTGTGTAAAAAAAAGATTTTTTTTTACAAATAATGAAAACAGATATACAGAATCAGTTTACTGTTACAAAACCTTACAAGTTTCTAAAGTAGAATTAAAGTCTTTTTTTTTCTACTGCTAGTAACCAGTAGATACTGTATATGCCCCAATATTTAAAAAAAGTTGGCAAATACCATTTAACTAACCGGCTTCCGAATGCTGTGAAGGAGGAAGTGTGGGTGGGCGCATGCACACTAAAGATCCTCAGAGGCGGAGAGCGCCGCTGACACTGAATGCACACAGCCAGGCAGTTGGGAGCGTACACTCACGACAGACTCTGTGGGACCTGAGGAGTCTACGCTGGATCAGAGACCGACACCAAATGAGTGGAAGTAAGAACTGTTCAGATCAAGAGGCATCACATAAGGTAAGTCTTTATGGGGGGGGGGGGGGATTCTAGCTTTAGTGTCACGTTAACATAAAAAAAGACCACAACCATTACAGTTTGCCTTTAAATTGGAGTTTTGTTTTATTCGGCTGGAAGAATTTTATTAGGAACATATGGCTGAGTTTTAATAACAAATCTGTTCAGATATCAGAATATCATTCATAGTGCATGAAGTGTCGAGAAGTGTGTCAGTCTTACTCAGGTTCCATTGAATGATGTCACAAACAGAGGATTACTCCATGGCTTGTCTTGTTGATTCTCAGTTAAATGATGATGTTTATGTGTATCTAATAAGAATACTAATATTATCGTATACATTCTAAAAAAAATGACACAAGCAGTTCATGAAAAATATGCATATCATTGTTCCAATCAGTGCCAGGATGTCTGTGATGAAGTATCATACAATTCCGTTTATATTTGTGTGTATGGCAATGTAAAACAAATCTGTCTTCTGAGGCATATTACTGCTAGCTGTCCTTAATCCACCTCTTGTGTAAGTGATAAATGCTGTGCTTGAAAGAACACACAAATGAGGATTTTTGCTGGAGCTATTAATGTGAGTTTTGTATTAACATAATCAATGCATGATCACTGCTTTTCATTTTTGTTTTGGAATCTGCTTTTTAGAAAGAGATCCCTGTAATAATTTCTCTCCCAGGGAATTTTATTATAATGTGCAAATTCGCTCAAGTGGCCTGTACTTAAATCTCTATGGGAAATGTTATGAAACCGTGACAGTCTTCAGATTGCAGATACTAGCCTATCATTCTACCGTGCATGTTTGCCAGAAAAGCTACAGGCATCTGTGTGAAAGAGTTTTTATGGGACTGTTACAGCGTGCAAGTGTATAAATCATTGTTTTGTATAGCTGTACCTTGCTTTGTGAGCAAGCCAATGAGAAAATACTTCTCTCTTCCTGTATCTGCCAGAGACACAGAGAGATAGGTAAATATTAGGTTCTGGCTACGTGACAGGAATAGTACTGGTAATGCTGCTTTGTTCATTAATGTCTTTAACTCTTTGAACATTTTCTATAGGGAAATCACCCACATTCCACCCATCAACATCCATTTATTTATTGGTTGCATCATTACTGAACTTCACATCTGGAAACCTGCAAACAGTCAGGGTCTACTGTTTGAATACATAACTTGGATGCAGAGTCCAAAAACCTTCTATAAAAAATGCAACTGAATCTATACATATTACCGGTGTTTTATAGAATTTGCACAAAACACAGACAGACATACCTAGAATGCATCTATTTATTAACAGTGGAGCAAATACATTGTTATAGACTCCATAACAACAAATTACTTGTTAGTTTTAATCATACTGCATTTCAATACTACTCCATTGCTGGCAATACACTTGGCGGTTTTCAAACAATTTAAAAGAAAATGATAAGATTAAATATAAATATATAACCTGCTGGTGGTAGGTTGCCTCAATCTATTTTTGTGATTCAAATCTGTTTTACTTACTTAAAAACTCCTGTGGTTATGGCCAGTGTTATATACTATGAATCATGGATGTGGTTAGTGTTCTAAAATTTAGGGTCAGATGAGCACTCCACGGAAAAACATTTTACAAGCGTTTGCAAGCAAATTGATGTGTTGCTAGTCCAATAGTGCTTCAGCTTAGCTAAAATACAAAATTTGTACCTGGATACTGGACGGACTGGCAATTACATTAGGGAGCCCTGTAAGCTTATCTTATGGCACAGATAGAAAGCTTTGTAACAGTATTTTTAGTGATGTATGTACTGTATCTACAATTAATATTTGATACTTCTTGCTCAAGAGGTTTTGTACAAAGTCTGTCTCCACCCTATTGTACATCCAGTGTTTTTCTCATCTTCACTTCCACATCTAAAAGGAAAACAACTAACATTATAACAAACAATCTTAGAGTTAAATAGTTTGTAAAAAAAAGTTATATAATTACAACCAAACGTTTCTTTGATTGCCAATGATACTATTCTCACACAAAATTATTGTTGGCTTCACAATCAAAATGTGAACCTCTACACCCCGCCTACACTTTATCCACCATCACTATTTATGTGAAAGATTAATTGCATCAGTAATGTCCTCCTTCAGTCCCTAAAGAACAGATTATTGGCTTGGTGTCACACATAAAAATGTGCTTCCACATTTGAGATCCTCACTTGATGCAAGGTTGAATGGACCCTTCTTATTAAATGCCCTTTGAATCAGGTGAAATAATTATAAACTTGTTTCTCATACAAGGCCAATTTTCTGTCAAATAGGGGTTTTTAGACTTAATCTGGTGGTGATGAGCAGGTTTTTTGGGAAGCCAACAATTCTTTCTTTTCAAAATGCATTGGGACCAATGGGTCATATAGGATTCCAAATACACTGTAACTGGTCATCCAGTAATGCATTATCGCCCTCAATATGGCTTAGGTGATGAACACATATGTGCGTACGGCCAAATCATTTAACGGTCTGGGCACTAACTCCAAAGCTTTAGTTGTGTAGTACATCCCTTATGTTTAGCATATAATTGAACTTACTGTCACATGTTAGCATACTTTATCCTGTTGGTCCTTTTAAAAATACTGGTACTGCTACTGTTATTTAGTAAACCAGGGATATTATCTAAAATGCATATATAGAAGCATTTAATCTGTAGCATATAATTTTCATAATATGTAAACATAGCATTCATCATTCAAAAGGATCACATTGCATATGCATTTATTGAGGGAAAAGTAGGCTTTTCTCTTTTTCAGTGGATGTAATCTTAGATTGTTTACATTGCGACTTTGGGTTAAATTATAGGGCATTTAAGAAAAGCACACTAAAACAAACACACTCGTTGTAAAGTCTAAAATACTTTTTCTTTACCAAATTTGCCAATTTAAAATGAAATTTGGTATACTCCCATGCTGTTATACAAAACATCTGGGTATAAGTTGACTGATATAGGATGATCTCAGGAAAGTGGTAAAACAAACAAATTGATTGGGAATGTGAATGTGAAGTAAGGACAGTAATGAAACATTTCATGCCTGGAGCAGCTGTGTCACCTATCTCGCTCATTGGTACATTGTTTTCAGTTGCTTAGACTCTTTCCCTGCATTATAGAGAGCTGTTCACAAATTACCTCCCGCAGGACATGCTTAAATCCTAAACTCCATGTTCATATCTTTTAGCTATGCTCACGGGATCCCCATTTAATGCAGTCGCTGGCAGGCAAATCAAACAAAAGTAAAGCCACGTGATAAAGGTGTGAAAATAATTCACTTATTAGTAAAACATAAAGTTACAGCTCATCTTCAGAATAGCTCCCGAAGGAACCAATTTCAGTTCATTGCTTTAGTGAAAGTAGTGAAATACTATCCAGAATTCTAACACTACATCAGCTTTTTTCATTTTTATATAAATATCTATGGAGTCATTTTCATTATAACTTCTTGCAGACATACTGTATATTCCACTCAGTGTGTGCACAACCTTTATGCAGGGTGAAGCAGCCAGAAAACAAATCTGGCTCACCCTTTTTTAAAGCTG